AACCAGTGGTAAAGACTTCTGTGAGACAACCAAGGAAACTTGAACTTCAAGTAGTAAATGATACCCAGGAATTATTCATGTTGTTAGCAGTTACATGTCAGCATAAGAAAAGTCCAAAACTATAGAGAGTTGTTATGAGTTTATTTGAGCCAAACTTATGACATATAACAGGAAGCAAAATCTTAACAGATTGAGAAAATGCTCCAGAGAATGGCAGTTTTGCAGCTTATTTTAAGCTTATTTTAAGCACTAGAATCAAAGGAGGAGTCATAAGAGGGTTACATGAAATCCACTGGTGGTAGATTTAAGGAGGTGGGAGAAAGCATGGGCTAGGCTAGGGGGAGGGGAGAGAAACATAGGATTGAATAAAAGGCAAAATGGAGAAACACTTTTACATTTGTGGGTAGGGAATAGTTAGTAAACATTCACAGCACATAGAAATGGTATACGGGGAACAAGATAACAAGAGGGAGTCTGTGGTCTGTGCTCTGGTGCTGGTAGTTGTGCCTAAGAGAGGTCCAGAAAATAAAATTACTTTGACATTTCAAAGACATATTATCCTAGACGCATAAGATCAATGGACAGAGCTCGCTTAAGGTAAATATTGAGCTTTGCTAGCCTGGCTGGTGTTGCTCAGTTGGTACAATACACCAAAGGTCGCAGGTTTGATTCCGGTCAGGGCACATGCCCAGGTGTTTAATAAAAAGGACTGTAGTTGAATGTGTGGAAGTGGAAGAACCCAGCCTTGTGAGCAGGTTTACTCAAAAACCCTCTCCTACCTCAGCAATGCCAGCGTACTGCCTGGAAGTGGCAACTGGAGCCAACTCCTTGCCGCCCAGGCATGGCTTTGTCTCTTCCACCTACAACCAGCTATCTCTGACATGCATCAAAGCCCTCACCCCAAGCCCATGCCTCTTGCCTCAGTGTTTGCATTGCTTATCTCTTAAACTCTTACTCAGGTGTGAATCTTTGCTCTCACACTCACGGTCTGCTTGCTCTCCTCCTGCATGACAGCAGCCCTGCGTGCCCCGGTTTTAGATGTTGGCTTATTCTCCCAGCCCAGGGGAGAAATCCAGGATCATCAATGCCATGCATGCTCCTCACGAGCCCTGTCTCCCACCCTTTTCCTGTTTCCACCCTCCTCCTCTTTTTCCCCTTCCTTCTTCACCAGGCTTCCCAGTGCTTCCCAGTGCCTAGGAGGCCCCGGGTCTCAGGAGGGAGCACATATTGGTTGCTTCCCCAGTGCTCCCCTCACCCCTCCGCTCATTCATGTTCCCTGAGTTTTCCTTGAGGGACTTTGTTGCTTCCTCCACCTTGGGAAGCCACAGAGCATGGCTGTTAAAAACGCTGGATCTAGAGTCAGACTACCAGGGTCCACTCTACCATGTATCGACCGTGTGAACTTGGGCAGGCTACTTAACTTCTCGGTGCCAGTCAGTAAAGCGGGGATAGCAATAGTAGCTGCCCTAGAGGGTACTTGTGGGGACTGCTAATCCTAATTAACCTAAGTGCTTTGTATCAGCTACTATTCTTCCCCACTGGGTGGAGTGGGTGAGATGGACCCCAGCTTCAGGTGTGGGATGTGATTGGCTTAAGCCAATTAAATAGCCCATCCTTAGCCATAGGGATTGGTTCAGGAGAGGGCCCAGTACTTATTCAGGCCAATGAGGCACAAGAAGA